AGTTGGCACATCCACCAAGCAATTAGACTTTATCTCCCTTGTTTATGTGGCTGAACAACGGTTCATTTTCAAACTTAATAGTCAATACTCCGAAAGATAAAACTGCCTGGGTCACTCTTGGGAGATGATTTGAGGGTTTGGCGGGAAAACAGGACAAGACAGCAGCTGGGACCAGTCTCAGCCTCCCAGCGTCTGCCCCCGTGGACAGGTGTTCCTGGGCCCCAGTGTAAACCTTCGGACCTCCCTGCGTGGTCCATGGGAGGAAAGTACACATTTCCACATCATTGGTGGGAAACCCAAAGGCAACAGAAGGCGAGGGCACTGCAGTCTGCAGCCCTCAGTGTCCCCTCACCTGGGGTATCAAAGACTCTGGTTCCACTGCCAGCAGGCAGCCTTAGATAGAGCCCTTCAGGGGCTGCAGACTGGGACCGGCTGTCCCCACCGAGCCCCCTCCTCAGGCCAGCCACCTGCAGAGGGAGCCAAAGGCAGTGCCCACCACATGGGGGGACTCACCCCTGCCCCCACCCCGCAGCCTCCAGGCCAGCTTGGGCAAAGTCAGGTGGGGGCACTGCCGTCCTGGGGTCACATATTCTTTAGGACAGAAAAGTCCATTAGCTAATGCAGAAGGAGTGGAGAAAGGGGCTCCCCAGTTCCAACTCCAGCCCGCGCTGGAGCAGGAGGCTGTGCCATTAACTGCAGTGAAATACTTCCATCTGCTGGCTAAATTAAGAACTGCAGGGGCCCTGGTGTGGGTTCTGGGGCCGTGTCTTCCCACCAGGCACAGGCAGCTAGAAAGGCCTGGGAAACCAGCTTCCTCCCAGGTTGGATGCTATCATCCTTCTTGCTTTTCTATTGCTGTTAATTGCATAATAATAATAATAATAAAATAATAATAACATACTCTCAATTATTGAGTGTCTGAGATGCTAGGCACATTGCAGAGTATTTCTGTTGCTTCCAATAGTCCTTTAAGATATTGTCCCCACTGAAGCTCAGACAGGGTGGGCATGGTGCCCGGGTAATACAGCCTCAGCCTGGGGGGTGGTTCAGCCAGGATTCTGACCACATGGCCTGGCTTCAGCTCTGCACTGGCCTTGGAAGCCCATGCCTTACCTCCACATTTCATGAAGTGCCCCAGCTCCCTTCTTGATTTTCTGCCACTTCTTCCCTGGCAACTGCTTCTTACTGCCAATGCCTGTCCACATGCGAGGTACTGTTCTAGGACAAAATGGAACAACCCGGATATCACAGATTGCATATGCCAGGAGTCTTGAGGCTGAGAGGAGAGCTCACAGGCCTCTGAAGCCTCAGCCTTTCTCCCTTCTGGAAAGGGAAGGCTTCTCGGATAGGGACCCAAAGCCCTGCAGTTAGGGTAAGAAGGAGAGATAGCAGTGCTGGGTAAAGGGAGCCTCAGGGATTTGGGAGCCTGACGTGCATTTCTCTCACCCAGGCCTGATTATGGTGCCCCAACTTGGGGCCAAGCTCATTTTTCCAGGCATAGTGGCTCACATCTGTAATACCAGCAATTTGGGACACCAAGGTGGGAGGATTGCTTGAAGCCAAGAGTTTGAGACCAGCCTGAGCAAAAGTGAGACCCCATCTCTACAAAAATGAAAAAGAAATGTCTGGTATAGTGGCACATGCTTGTAGTCCCAGCTATTCCTGAGGCAGAGGCAGGAGGATCACTTGAGCCCAGGAGTTTGAGATTGCACTGAACTATGATCGTGCCCCTGGGATCCAGCCTGGGTGACAAAGTGAGACTTTGTCTCAACAACAACAAAAACCTTCCAGTTCCTCCATCCCTTCTTGCTCTGGTCTTCGCAGACTACTGGAGCTGGGAGAGGACCCCAGAAACGATCCAGATAAAATTTACCCCTTTTTTTAGATGGGAAAAGTCAGGTCCGGAGAGGACAAGCAGTTTTCCCAGATCACACAGCTAAGTGTCACAGCAAGGATGGGGGTCAGGTCTCCTACCCACCCAGCCAGAGCTCCCTGCTAAGATCCAGCACTGCCTCCCTCTTCCCCAGTCTGCTGCCCACATCTCACTTCGAATTGCCTAATGCCAGACTTGGATGAGGACAGAGAACGGGAGAGCCAGGGTCAGGACTTTGCTCAGTATCTGAGATGAATATGAAGTAGAAATGGAATCTTGCTTCTCTTCTTTCTCTCCTGTCTAGGGAGACTTGGGGCCTGCAGAATTCCTCCCATATTCGCTCTTGCTGGGGAGGGAGGCATTCTCAAGAACGAGGAAAATTGGATTTCCCTGATCGCTTTATAATCACAGCTCTAATGATAATGGAACTGGTGGGGATTGATGAGGGGAGGGCAGTGCTTACAATGTCCCTGCTCGGGTCCCAGCAGAGGGCCCAGGGCCAACTGCCACTGCCATCTTCTTGGCAGTCCACCTTGCTGGCCTCCAGGCTGCAGGAGGCATATCTTGGTCAGGCTCAGGCTCAAGCCCAGGCCAGGCAGGGCCCAGGGAATTCAGCCAAATCCCTTCCTCAGGAGCTGGTGGATTTAGGGTCAGAGAACTGGGAGCCCCTCATGGCCATGGCCTTTTTCAGAGAGTCTGAGTATTGCTGCAGCCCAGGAATTTGGCCCTCCTGATCATCAAGACCACAGTGACTGCAGGTCCCAGAGAAGTCAGAGAGACTGCTGGAAATTGGTGCCCACAGAGGTAGACCAGCACCCATAATAGGGCTGTGGGGAGCAGCAGCCAACCCCAGGGACCCTGCAATCTCAACAAGGAGAGATTGAGGAGGCCCGAGCATGCTGGTCTGGCCTACAGTGGTCTCTCTTCTGGACAGTGCGCAGAGGTCTTCCACACATGCACCCCACCCTTCTCCTTCCTTCTCCTTGTTTCCCCCCTTTCTCCTGCATATTATTCTTCCTACCCATTTCTCTTTCCCTTTCTGAGTCCCAGGAACCCCCTCCTAGGAAGCCTGGACACTGGCAGGGACCCTAATCCCACCCCAACCTGGCCCTGCAGGGTGGGGAGAGGGAAGAGTGTTACCCACCATGACGGACCACAGCCAGCTCCCATTCAGGAGTTTGTCCAGAGTTGGGGGGAGCAGAGTGAGAAAGGACAGTGAAAACAGAGGGTCCTGGGTATCCCTGCCACCCCAGGAAAGAGTGTGGGTGTTTTGGATGCTTCCTCCTGGTGTGATTCCCTCGCCAGGAAGCCTTCTCTGACCATCCCTCCACATTTCTCTGGGTTCCCAGGGACCAGAAGTCCTCATCTCCTTCCTCCATCCCCCAAACCCAGGACGGTGCTGGCTTCAGGAGCCTGGCTCTCCCACCACCTTTGCTGCAGGCTCTGTCACTGGGAGAGCCCTCAGGCCTGCAGCCTCCACGCCAGCCTGCGCTGGGATCCTCACAGCTCAGGGCAGTCAGGGTGCCCCCCAGCCCCACCCTGTGTTCACTGTTAACCAAGGGGCAGGCCCCTGCACTGCACACTCATCCTCGGCTGGGGAGGGAGCCACGTCTTTGAGAGGAAAGAGGGAAGATGACTGTACAGTCATCAGAGAGAAAACGTGTGTTCAGGAGACTATGGCCAGTCCCTTTGGGGACCCTCAGAGAAATACTTATTCAATACAAGAGAAGCAACTGACAAATGGTTTATTTTGGGGGGGGAAACCCAAGCTGAATGTCTCCCTCCCCCACCCTGCAGGCTGGCCCCCTCCCTTAGCCCCTACATAGGCCCTGGGGTGGTGGGTGAGAGAGGAGGGATGACCCTACCCCACCGCTCCTGGATGGGCCTCCTCCCTAAGGCCTGGGCCTGTGACATGCAACCTGCAGGGTCATCAGAGGGAAGCGGCAGACCCTGGCAGAGCAGTGGGTAGGAGTGGGGGGCCCTGCACCCTTGTCAATAGCTCTTGCTGCAACCAGGGCAGCCACGTCTGCCATTCCAGAAGAAATCATGAAATCCTACAGGTCACTGGTAATTTCCTTGCATGGCCAGGCCTGTGGCTATTTTCATGGGTGGGTTATGTAAGGTCAAGGGGAATTAGGTGTCCTGGCAGGTGGAGAGAGAAATATCTTGGCTAGAATTACCCTGCCAGCCAGGGGAAGCCCCTTCCAAGGACCCCAGACTCCAAGTGAATGCAGTGGAGACCCATGGCCTGGGCAGGGTGATGCCAAGACCCTGACAGTTTTCCACCTGTGGTGGCCAAGGACTGCAGACTCTGCCAGGCTGGGCATGTGTAGGTAGGGCCAGGCTTCTCTAGACAGGGGCAGGCTGCTGGGAAGCAGGAGGCGAGGCTTTGTGGATGGGAGAGGGGCAGCTGTCTGGGCCCGCCACCTCCTGACCATATCAGGGGAAGGGGAGTGACATGAACAGTCAAGCGCCTAGAGGCAGCAGGGCATGTGTGAGAGAGGCAGGCTGAGGCCACACGGGTCCTTACTGCTGTCCCTGTGTGCAGCCCAAGAGGAGGGTGGCGGATCAGGGGAGACCCCTCCTACCCTGCACCAGCCATGGGATGGCCTCTGAATGCAGGAACTGTGGTGACATCAGGAGTCACCAGGCAGGAAAGGGCCTGGGTGGAGTGTAGACCATGGGGAGGCGAGGGCAGCTAGGACTGCCATGGGAGGCCAGGGAGGACTGCGGAAGGCAGGGGCAGGGGTGCTCCCTCTCCCACAGACGAGCACGGTAGCTTAGGAGACAAGAGCAGCAGGGCCAGGAGGAAGGGGGTGTGGTGACTCATTCTCTCCTTCCTGGAGCTCACGGGGCCTCGTTGGACCCGATCCCGTTGCCTTTGTTGACGTAGAATGGCCGGTGGTGAGACTGTGGGGAAACAAGAGGGGTCAGAGAAGCCGGGTGGCAGGTGCCCCCACTAGCCAGACCCACCCCACCCTCACTGCCTCTAGCCAGGTCCAAATCCATTCTGAGGGCCTTGTGGCCTGACCCATAAGAGCTCTCTCTCCTGAGATCAGAGAGTGGTCCCTGAGATCAAAATCCCCAGGTTCAAATCCTAATCAGAATTCATTCCCATTAACTGGTAGTGACCTTGAACCTCAGCTTGCCATCAGATTGACTGAACTTTTTCTCCACAGCCTATGAAGGCTCCCAGCACCACCACGGCTACCATTTATGTCTACAGAGCTTCACGGCACTGTGTCAAGTGCTTTCTATGGATGGACTCATTTAATTTTTACAACCACCCAATAAAACAGATTACTATTATCATATCCATTTTATAGCTGAGCAAACCAAGGCACAGAGAGGCTAGGCAACTTGCCCAAGGTCTCTCAGCTGGCAAGTAGAGGGGCTGGAATTCAAAGCCCAGAGGTCTGGCTCGAGTCTGCCCACACCCCCACACCCCTGCACAAATCCGCCTCACTCCTCGAGTGGAGAAAGAGTCAAGTGTTTGCTTCTGCTCTGAGTGCACAGTCCTCTCCGAGGGACGGATGCACAGAGGGTAAATAGGTGTCCCCGCCCAATGCAGTCTCAGACTCCAACCCCACCGCCCCCCGTCAGTACTCAGGGGCAGAGCCCAGTGGCAATTCTCCCAGCTCCATTGGTGTATCGCATCCCCCTGTGATTTCATGAAATCAGCACCCCCAGCTCCCCCAGTCACTTCATGGGGATCCTGAGATGTCAGCCCTCCAGACTGAAATGCAGGAGCAAGTTTTAGCTGCTCCTTGCCCATGTGAGCACTGTCGGCTCCTAGAGGAACTCGAGGAATAGATTTGTCCCTGAAATGAGGCAGAGACTGAGTCCACCCCATGCCCCACTGATCCCAGTACAGCAGACACCCTGCCCCCATGCACGCACCCCAGGGGTATCCTGGCCCCTGCTCTTGACCTGCCTTTCAGGAACTTGCAGCTCCAGTCATAGCCTCACCTACGTCTGTCCACAGTGGGACAGGGGCCTGTGGAATAAGTGCCAGGGCTGACAGTCCTTAGCACAGACAAGCTGTGTTTCCATTAAACAAAGGAAAACACTGAGACTCAGGAAGGGAAAAGGACACAGACAAGTCACACAGTGACTCAGTAGCAGAGCAGGTCTCCTGACCTCCAGGTGCCAGCCTGGAGCCTAAAGCAGTCAGCCCACAGGACAGAGCAAATAGACCTGGATGTGGCCTGCCTTTCTTTCAGGAAGGTTAGGTTAATGATGTGGACGACAGATCAGGGAATCTCAACCAGGGGCTGCCTGGCTAGGAGCCTGGAGTGGCGGGTGGACAGGAACATGGTCCGGTGACACCCAGTAGGCGCTCTCTCTCACCCCGTCCCCTTCCTGGCTAACAGCACATGAGAGCTGGAAGGGCTATGAAATCATCTGGGTCATCCAATTTGTTACAGAAGGGAAAACTGAGGCACAAAGGAAGAAGGACTCAAGGTCACACAGCAAGTTAGAGGGCTGAGGCGAGGTCCTGATTCCCAGGCCAGCCTCTCTGCACAGTGGCACCTGCCTCCTTGCAGGGGACTCAAGGCGCAATGAGCCTTTTCTGTAAGGACCAAGGTTCTGGGAGGGTGGGAAAGCGTGTGTGGGGGGGAAGTCTAGGAACAGAAACTTCTTTTCTCCCCATATCTGCTTTTTGCAGTCCTGCTGTTGCAATGCCCCTGGGCCCAGCTCCAAATTACATACACGATCACTTAGTTCCCATCCCCAGCAAATTAAAGATTCTCTCCAATTAAACCAGCTCTAGTCACTCTTTTTGGTCCAGAGTAAATAACCTCCCTGTGCTCTGACCTCCAAATGTAAAGACAGCAGGAGCTCTAGACCCTGTTCCAGCAGAGCCTCTGATGCCACCACACACCAGGGCAGCCGGCCGGCCCTCAGCAAGGCCCAGCAGGGGCCTTCAGGAGAGAGAAGCTTGGAGGGATAGAGACTTAGCACATGAAGGACGGTCCTTGATCAGTGGGATCTTGACTGGGGCCCAGGCACATCAGGGCTAATGGGCACTGGAGATCCTCAAAGCACCCACACTATAAAAAACAAGAAACTGGCTAGGAACAATGGCTCACACGGGTCATCCTAACACTGGGAGGCTGAGGGAGGAGGATCATTTGAGTTCAGGAGTTCAAAACCAGCCTGAGAAAAAGTGAGACTCCATCTCTACTAAGGATAGAAAAAATTAGCCAGGCACAGTAGTGCGCTCCTGTAGTCCCAGCTACTCGGGAGGCTGACACAGGAAGATGGTGCAAGCCCAGGAGTTTGAGGTTGCTGTGAGCTACGCTGACACAACACTTTATCCCAGGTGACAGAGCAAGACTCTGTTTCACAAAAAAAAAAAAAAAAAAAAAGCAAGAAACAAGAGTCCCAAAGAGAGACTTCACTCCAGAGAGTCAGCACAGCAGAGGGCCTGGACTCCAAGGACATAATTCCCATTGTGCTACTTTTCTGATGCCTCTGGCTTAGGGTCATCAGATATTGAACCCTAAATATATCCCTAACTTATCCCAATGGCCTTTATGCTGTCAGAACTGTGGAATCGCCCTGAAGAAGTGGGACCCTCACCTAGAATATCTGTCCCCTCAACTGAGTGTTCTACAATCCCAGAGCCAGCAGGGGCCAAGCTGTTATTCCATAAGTATAGACACCCAACAACCATTTTCCAAATAAACAAACCAGGGCCTCCCACTTCACAGGTTAGAAAAGTGAGGCCTAGACAGTGGGTGCTTAGCCAGGTCCCCTGCCTGTTGGCCCTGGGTCTCTACTGCCCTTGGCTATCTGCAGGTGCTCAATCTACTGCTGCTTCCTCCACCCTCTGGCTCAGAGGTAATCACATTCCCACAGGCCCTGGGAACATGCAGATGAGTTTCCCCTGGGGAGCTTCCTTCTGTGCCCAGGGGCTCTCTGGGGTGGGTCACTCACCAGCAAAGTCTGCTTGCCAGATTTCCAAGTCTGGGGCTGGGCCTTGGGGGTCTGGCTCCGCATGAGGGAGGGGTATCCTGGAAAGACAAGAGGCCCCAGTCAGCAGGAGCATGGGATGGTAGACCAGGACCCCCAGGGCCAGAGCAGCACAGCTGCCTTCTCCAAAGTGACCGCCAAGCGTCATCCAGCCCATTACCAAATTCAGCCACCTGAAGAGGAAGCAGCGAGACAGACAGGAGGAAGGGGAGCCAGCCAGGTGGGCTGAGCTAGGCGGCAGGGGAGCGTCACCCCCAGATCCACAGCAGCATCACACTGCTCCACCAGGATTTCCATCCACCCCGAAGTTCATGCCACAGACCCCTCCCTGGAGCCCAGAAAGCCACCTCCTGAGCCCACCCTGCTAGGATTTCCCAGGGGGAGGAGTGCATTCTGACTCCTCAGTACTGATCGCAGCTGCTTCCCACTTGCTACTGAGCCCCACTTGTGCCCAGCACTGTGCCAGGGCTTTGCGCATCTCCTCATTTAGCCCAGCTCCCATTTCTGTGAGCTCAGCAGTTTGCCTGCATTGCACAGCGTACAAGCAGCAGTCAGAATTTGAAACCAGGCTTTGCCAGACTCTAAAACCCATATTCACATTCATTCTACCCAGCTCTGTTGCTCTCCATTAACCAGAGACTAGGGCCCAGAGAGGGGCAGTAATTTGCCAGTGTGGCCACTGCCCAGAGTCAACACAGCCAGCCCAAGAAGCCCAGAGTGGATGGTGCTGTCTGAGCTTGGTTGAGAAGGTGTGAGCCACCCTTCCTGGCTCTTCCTCTCAGCCCTGGGGGATCTACAAGGAGCTCTGGCCTGCAGAACAGTGAAAAGCACTCTTGGTATCAGCTCTCAGCCTATAGGGGCAAGCAGAGACCTAGATTCAAAGGTGCTCAAGAAATAAACGGGGTTTGTCCTGAGCCAGACCTCTGTCCAATGAGACTGTGGCCTGCCTTGGGGAAGCCCTCTCCTGCCCTGGTCTAAGGGAGATCTGCAGCACTGTCGGGCTGCCAGCTGGACTGTCCTGCCCAGGGTGGCCCTGAGAAAGAGACTTGGGAAGCGGCAGAGCAGAGAACCAGCTCTCTCATGCAGCTGGGGCTGGGGCACCCTTGGAGAGATACGGTTCCATGGGTCCTGAGAGGAGAGTGAGAGAGACAGGTTCAGGCCTCACTTCTCAGTTCCCAGAAAGAAAATCCCCTGCCAGCCATGAGAGAGATGAGGATGGGGATGGGTGGGGTGGCCCGTACACCAGCCCTGTGCAGCAGGCAGCAGTCCAGCTGGGGAGTGAGCTAGGGATGGAGGGTGGGGCATGCACCCCTCTTCCAGGGAGCTCTGGGGAGGAGGGACCAGGACACCTCAGAAGTGGCAGAGAGCCCCCACAGGATGTCCCACCTGCCCTGCTGAGGGAGAGGGAGGGGGAGGGAGGGGAAATGGGCAGGTACCGGGATTTTTTTTAAACAGTCCACTGCGGTCCAGTGGTTTGGAAAACTCTGCAGTGGCCTGTCCCAAGGTGGTGAACTGATAGGGGGTTTTCCCAGGGCCTGCTGGGAGAGAGAGAGGCATTAGCAGCATGTTGCTGGTCCCAGGAAGGGCTGGAGGGGCTGACCTTCACTCTGGGCTGTGGCTCCCGCAACCATCACCCAGCCCTGGAACTAGCCTGGCAGCCTTGTGCACACTCTGCCTCCGGGAGTGAGTTCATGGGGCACAGTCCACACAGCCCGGGCTGCCCTCCCACACAGGTCAGCCCTGTCCAGAGCCCTGTCCAAGGCCATTTCCAGCCATCCTGGGGAGCTGAGCTGCATGGAGGAGAGAGGAGCTGAGCTGGCCTCTGCCTCCCGGGCCACGTGTGTTTATTAAGTGGCTCTCTTGCTGCAACGTCTTAGACAGCAGCGTCTAGCAGGCTGAGGGACGTGTGAGGGCTCCAAATCACGCCAGAGGGTCGCCGCCTCTCCATCCAGGCTGGACCAGAGAGCAGGGAAGGCAAGTCCTGAAGCTCACCAGGCCTGGCCTAAGGGTAGGATGTCCCGGGGGGTCCTGCAGGCTGGGACCCTCTGCTCATATTCCTTTCTCTTCTACCTTGCTAAGAGCTCTGAGAATCCCTGCCCAGGTATGGTCTGGAACACCAGGCTAGAAGGGACAGCTGAGTGATACAGCCACTTCAGAGGCCACTTCATGGGGTCTAATGGCCCTGCAAGCCTCTCTCCCTCTCCCAGCCCCACCCAACCTGCCGATTCTTCTTCCAGGCCAGATGTTTGGGGTGCCAGGAGACAGTGACGCCCTCCCCAGCCACCAGAGCTGTCTCTGGGATCTTACAGGAGAGACATAGAGGTCTGGGATCTATAACCAGGGTCTGGTTCAACCCTGCCTCCCCCAGGATGACCCCAACCCCAGGGGACAGGAGGCACTGACCCATAGCAGGCAGGTGGAGGCAGGGGTGGGGGGTGCTTTACAGGACATCTTAACCTGCCTTTCCCAAAGGGGCTTCTGCAGGACTGGCCCTGGGAGTATCAGAGCACTACATGGCCACAGGGCCCTACAGTCAACCAGTACTGGGAGTCACTGGCCAAACAAAGGTAAATGGACTCTGTGAAGAAGGAAGACAGAAGCACCCCAGGCTCTCAGAGGTGGGGGTATAGCAGGTGTAGCGTGTCACACCAGTCTGAGCAGAGACCTCTTACAGTGCATCATTAGGGACCAAGTATGGTGAAGAAGGCCTGAGAAGCCCGACCTGGCCCAGCCCCCATCCCAGCCCTGGTATAGAGCAAAGGCTGTGATGACCTCCCACTCTCAGGCCAGGGCTCTCTTCTCTCCCTGGTGAGGGAGGAACTGACCAGAGTGGGAGCAGAGACCAAGGCAGGGGCCTCTGCACAGGAAAACCAAGGGGGCAGGCGGGGAGAGCTCACCTTTCAAGGAGAAGGAGGAGCTGCCTTGGACGGCAGGCAGGTCATTGTCAGAGCTCTGGATGGTGGAGGAGTATTCCCAGACCCGGGAGGTGTAGTTACCTGGCAGGGCAGAGAAGGGGCATCAGACCCTGGCAGCCAGGCTTGAGGGGGCAGGATCCAGGATGTGGCCAATTCCATAGCTCTTCCTCTCCAGCCCCTGCCACATCTCAAGCTAGTTATGCCCCTGTGTCCCCAGTGACACCTCCCTAATCCTCTTGCCATCAAAATTCTTTCTAAAATATAAAAAGCAGTCATGTCTCTGTCCTACCTAAAAGCCACTGTCTTTAGCATAAGGGGCAAAGTCTTAACGCGACCCACCTTACCCACCATCCCCACTCACTTCCTGGCTCCTCTGTCCCACCCTCTATCCCTCAACACCCCAGCCAGCCTGAGCCCTCAATGTCCAGGTTACCAGCTTCCCTCCCCGCCAGGCTTTGTGTCCAGACCAGGTCCTCTGCCTAGAACATTCACATATTGGGTCTTCAAGTGTCAACTTACATGTCACCTCCCCCAAGCCCACCTGTGCCTCAGCCCCATCACCCTCCACCCCATTCTCCAAGTTGCAGTTGTGTGTTTAATTGTCTGTCTCCCCAGTGGGGTCTGGCCCTGCAGCACACCCAGGGCCTGGCACAGAGCCTGTTCCTACGTGGTGATCTTAGAAGGCGCCTAGAAGCTGATGGATAAATGTATGAACAAATGAACAAGTACAAACATCCTCAAACTTGAGGGCAGAGGCAGCTGATCAAACTCCTGAAATTCTGTTTGCCAAGTTGAATAGGCTAACAGACGTCTATGCACAAGCATGCCTTGTAGTCTAGGGGAAGGAGGGGGTGCAAGTGGGGCAGGGGGTCAGGCCCTCTGGATGATATGCCCTCCTCCAGCACCCCCAGGCCTGCAGCATGAGAGGCCTCCTCAACCAAACTCGCTCCATAGAAGCAGCCACCAGGCCCAGCAGTCCTCTCCCAGAGCTGTCTACGGGGAGGGCTGGGGGCTGGCCTTTGGGTTCAGGTGTCAAAGAGGGGTGGGGCTGGCCACGAGATCCAGTGCTGAGCCCTCCCACAGGGGTGTCAGGAAGCTTCTGTGGCCCTCAGTGAGCGTATCCACCCAAGGCTCAGAGGTCAGAGGCCAGGCCTTTCATTCACTCATTCCTTCACTCTCTTTTCAACATCTGTCCTCAGAGCCCCTCCTATTCTTGTGCCTTGGGGTTGTAGCAGCAAACAAGACAGACACAGCCCCGTCCCGATGCAGCTCACATCTACTGCGTGTAAGGAGGGGAATGAATTTGGTCACAGCCATGAATCCAGTTCTGGACATGGAGGCTGGGCATTGCTCTGTCCACTGGGCGCCCAGCCCTGTGGTCTCCATGAGCCTTGTTCTCACTGAGGGTCCTTCCAATGCTGTGTCTGGGACAGGGGCACTGGGGCATGTGGCTGGCATGCACCCAGGACCCCCAGGACAGAGCCAGAGCACGTGGCCCTGCCCTTGGGCACAGTGGTCCCCTGAGAGCACTGGGCAGAGGGAGCCCCTGCACTCAGCAGCTCCCCTGGGGAGGCCATGTCTCCGCCATTTCACCTCTTCTGGGTCATAAGGTGTCACTCACTAACCTCTTGTGGCGACACCACCTGCTAGGGTTCCAGGGATGGCACATTTCATATCATGCCTTCCTTTCCCTTCATGGCTAAACTGACTCGTATTAAAGACTTGCCAGGAAGAAGTATGCAAATCTGCAAAGATCCTCAGAGGGTCCTCAGGCCCTAACAGGTGGCGGCTCACCTCCAGTTTCCCCAAAATCACCCTTCAGGGATAAGAGGACTCTGGGAGTCCCAGGGATTCAAGGCAACTGGCTACTTTATCTGTAGCCTAACAAACAACATCCTGCGTGTGCCCAGATGCACACATAGACACACACAAACTTCACGCTCATAGGACCCCTCTTAATCCGTGTCTGGAGCCCCCACGCTCATCTTGTGCTGGGGAGCTCCAGCCCTGGCCCCAGCGCCCTCCACCAACCCCCTGCACCTGCACAGCCTCCACAGGGCTCCACCCACCAACCTTTGGTGCCATAGAGATTGCTGAAGTTCTTCTGGTTGGTCTCCTTGGAGAAGCGGCCAGGGGATGAGGGCTGGTACGATGTCCGGGCCCCACCTGTAAGGCAGAGGAAAAGGGCCTGTCATGGCAGGAAGGGGGTCTGGCTCAGCATGGGACCTGAGCCTCCAACTGAGGGGTCTTGGTGCAGGAGTCCCTGCCCCCACACAGCTCCCCAGTGCCTGTCACAGGACCTGGATTCCTCTGGTAAGAGAGGTTCTTTGAGTCTAGCATACAGCAATCACTTAATTCACCACCCAAACTGAGATATTTTTGAGAGTAGGGGGGCTCTATTAGTAATCATGCTGAGAGCATCAGGTATAAACCCCCCATGGCCTTGGAAAGATTAAGACTTATGGTCACCTAGTTGGGGGCTTTGAGGGTCACCAGCAGGCAGGAAAAGCCAATACTTCTCTCCTGAGCCAGCTCTTCTGTGAATGAGACCCCAGAGGTTGGGAAGGGGGTGTGTGGGAGGCAATGGCAACTGTGGGGCCGGGGGCAGTGGACTTGGCCGAGTAAGGGAGGAGCCACCTGGAAGTGGCCTGGTGAGTCAGGCCTGAGACCATGTCCCAGGTGCCGGTACTTACCCCCAGAGGGATCAGAGCCCTACCCCACCCACCCAGGCTCCACAGCGGCCTTGTGAGGAAGGCAGAGGGGGGCCAGAACCCCACTTTACAGACGGAGACTATGAGCTCCCCACACGTGTCGGGATCCCTTGTTGCCTCCTTCCCTCTGCCGAGCCCTCAGACTACACCACGCCCCCAAGTCCTGCTGGCTGCCCAGCGCCCAAAGGTCCCTCCTGGAACTCATAGTGCCCACAGTTGCTCTCCTCATGGCCCCCGCCCATCACAGTCACACCCCCTGGGAAGGAGCCCCAGCCACTGCCGTTCCTATCTACCCCAAACTCCCAGACTCAGGGCCTGGGGTTACTTAGTGGCCTTGTTTCCCAACCTCCCTCCTTGACAACTCTCCTCGGCCCTCGCCTGGCCTCTGCCCTGAGCCTGGGAGCTCCCCAAGGGCAGATGCCTCCTCCCTCCTGTCTGCAGCCCAGGCTGTGCTCACGGAGCCTGGGGCCGGGGGACCAGGGGAGCCTGTTTCTCCCACCACAAACGTCACGGACTGACTCATAGCCACAGGGCTGACAGGTCTCCTGGCATTTGAGTTCTACCTCCCTTCTCAGATAGGAACACTGTGGCCAGACAGGGCAGTGGCCAGCCCAGGGTCCCCCCATCCTGGACTCTTGGGGGCACATCTTGGCAGGTCCTTCTCCCCACCTGCCTTGCTGTGCTGCTCCCTTCCCATAGCCTGTGGGGGGCTCACGCTGGACCCTGACCCTTCTGCACAGCCAGGAGGCAAGCAGGGTCTCAGTGCCACATCAGGGGACAGGGGCACAGGACTGGGCCAGGGTGAGGCAGGGGTGGGGAGGTTAGTTAGCATAGCTCATCCTCTCATTCAGCCCAAAGGGGCAGCACCCTGGGGAGCAAAGGGGGTGGCACAGGCTGGCGGGGCCCGGCCCACAGCAGGAATGCTAGAGGAGGTAGAACCCAACTCCGAGAAGCCCAGGGGTTGTTTTCAAATTGGGTGGAGCAGCAGAGGCTCTCCTCGGTGAGTTCATCTCTTCACACACCCCCAGCCCCTCCCGTGTGTGTGTGTGTGTGTGTGTGTGTGTGTGTGTGTGAATTACTGCTTAGGCCCCAAGCCTTCCCCCCCTCCCCTGCACCTGTGTCTTCCCTGTGTCCCTGCCCCCCAGCCCCTCTGCCCCCATGTACGGGCCCACGCCCCTTCTGCCCAAGCCAGCAGGTCTGACACGCCCCCCCACCTTATGTAACGGGCATCGTTGTGGTTTGCTGCTGGTGCCCAAGAATGTGACAGGCCACCACAAGGCAAGGACAGGTCGGCACTGGTCTGCACCTCACCCAGCTGTCACCCTGCAGGCTGGGACTGCCTGGGAGGTGTCTGAAGGCCCAGGTGGCACGGAGAGGACACTCAGAAGAAGAGACTTCTCCCTCCCTGTCCCAGAGGAACAGAATTATTCTAGGGCAGCGGTTCTCAACCTATGGGTCATGACCCACAGGAACTGTATTAAAGGGCCAGGACATTAGGAAGGTTGAGAACCACTGTTCTAGGGGGAGGTAGCTTCTCTGCAGAGCTCAAGACCCACAAAAACCTGAGCAAAAGCAACACACAGCTGTAGCCTGGCAGAGAGGAGCCTGGAGATCTCTGGAAGGACAGAGAAGCAAGGGTGGGGGCTTGAGGCCAGGGAGATGGGGGCAAAGGACTGTATGTGTGGTGGGGGTGACACCTCTGATGAGCTAGGTGCTGGATAGTACTGTGTCATCCAAAACAGGAAACTTCGGTTCATGATCACACCGGAATCATAGAGAGGGCCACGGATT